AAATCAACAGTTATTTGTCTGTCTGATAGATCCAAAATCTCTATGTATTTGCAGAATGGCAAGATTCCAGCTGAAATCTGATTTCATATTTGATTTATTTTTCCACATCTGGCCTCATTAAGGTACGCTAAATCTCACAGAGATTGCATTACTCAGGTATGACAAGGAATGCTGCTGCCCGCTGTGCACGGACAGGACTGACATTACGCATGATATGTACTTTAAATCAGCTTTATAAAATATACAGCTTAAGCCTCTCATGAGACTAACCGCTCTCTCTTCCCCTGCTGTTTCACTTTTATAAATCCTAAAGCTCAACAAAACATATCATGTGATTCTAGTATTCAAGTATTCAAATGCCACTTTACAATGAACACTAATACGTCCTATTACAAATAAACCTTAATGGTGCAGCAATTTAATCCATGTGTTGAAAGAAATGGAAAAATGATCATTGCAAGTCATCAGGGAGTTTTTTTTCAAGCAAACAGAAAGTTAGCAAGCAAAAGCAACTTAACCCTGTAAAGCATGGCGTATGAAATAATAGTGTTATGGGGCTGACAAGACGTGAGGATCCATGTGCAAGCTTTATTCTGAACAGAAGACAGAGACGTGGTCATAACAGGCAGGGTCGAACAAAGGCAAACAGGTATATGGCGGGCAAAACACAAGAATAGTCCTAGGGCTAGCGTAGGTCGACGATCGGCAGACAGAATCACAGGGGCGAGACTAGAGGGATAAATCCAGGGATACAGGCAAAGATCAGAACCGCAAAAACCGACAAGGCAAGGCAAAACAAGGAAACACGGGAAGGATAACAGGAACTAGGAAAACTAACAGGCTAAGCAATACTCGGCAGTGAATGATAGTTTGAGTGAGTGTTATATGGTGAGTGAGTGATGTGAAGCAGCTGTGTGCAATCAGTGAAAACAGCTGTGTGCAATCCGTGCTGAGTGCAATCAGTGCAATGAATGATGGGATATGTAGTCCAGGATGATAAGCAACAGTAGGTGTAGTGCGAGAGTCAATGTAATGGAAAGAGTGACCTCTGATGGTAAGCAGACGGAAGTTCATGGACCGGATTCATGACAAATAGTCAGAAAAGTCATACAGTCAATCAAAATCAAATTAATAGTCAATATATTTTTTTAAACTGAATGGACAAGATATTTTACAAATATATGAAAAAGAAAATGTTTACATATATGTTTATTGTTGCGAATCATATTTGATACATCATTAGGCTCATACAGTATGATATAAGAGAATATGGAGCTCATACTTCTTAATTATATTTAGAGGCCCAAACTGAGCAAAAAAATTGCTTTTTGGTGCAGTTGATATTTACATGGCAAAAAATGTAGTTGAAATTCTGATATATTATAATGTAAATCAATGAGATATTTACAACAGTAGCAGACTAAAATGCATGTAAATATCAGTTTTCACTCTATATATCCCAATTATATGATTTTAATGTGACTAAGATTAAACGCTTAGTTTTATGATCAAAACTCAAATGTACTAAAATAATTAAAACTTCAAGTGAAATAAAAATTAATAAACTTAACATTTTAAATAATAAAAAACAAAAATGAATAAAAAGGATTAAAACAAAATTACCAAAACTTCAACTAAAAAACTGAACAGAAAAAAAACGAATTAGAAATATGAATAAAAACTGTTATCATCTGAATGATACTGCAACAATAGTTGCACAGTATAACACTATGTAACACAGTATTTCAATCGATAACTGAGATGAAAGATGGCACCAGTAACATTTATATAAAGCACAAGAGAGCTTCAGTTACCCCATAAATAGCACTGATATAGGCAACTGCAAATATTAGAAAATATCATACCTCCAGATGCTTTGATTGACCAGTCAGAATCAACTATTTATAGAGTTGTGACATGTAATTGTAAATTAGCAGTTCCTGAATATTTGAACTCAAATATAATTTTTTAGTTTATGTATGTTAACATTTCTAAGCACTATAATTACATAAATGCAACATGCTTTTTCCTTTTGAAAGGTATGAATGTTCATATGTTGATATGAACTGGTTGAACGTGGCTGGTCTTATTGAGAACAATTCATTGTTCAAATGGTATTTGAAAAAAAAGAAAGAAAAAAGAAAGTTTATTGGCCTGTGTAATAGTGATTTATGTGAACCCTTTTAATGATTATTTTTTTATTAGTGTTTGGACTCTCATTCTGACGGCACCCATTCACTACAGAGGATCCATTGGTGAGCAAATAATGTAATACTAAAATTGTCCAAATCTCCTTTACATCTTGGATGGCCTAAGGGTAAGTTAATGTTCAGCAAATTTTCATTTTTGGGTGAACTATTCTTTTAAATAAAACAGCCATCATGCCACTGTTTGCATGTTAAGAAGTGCTTGTAATATTAGTTTCCGTGTACAACAAAATATCCTTATAGAAAACAAAATTATCATGCACTACTACAGCATAGTGTGCTCATACTAAAAGCCCACATGTATTTTAATTTTCGAAGCGTGATCATTTGCTCATGAATTTCAGACACCTCAAGGCCGCATACAGACTTTTTTAATATCCAGACCAGCACAATATACTTGAGATTTTAGGTGTTGTCCACATTGGTTTGTAAAGAAATACATGAGCAGATTGTAAACATGGCACATATGCTAAGCTGTGAATCACATAGTGAAGCAAAGTGCTCTTTTCAGACAACCATTTTCTTGTATTTAATTGTTGTGGACAGTCTGTTTTCTGTATATTATTATTAATAATATTATTTTTCCAAAAAAAAAAAAAGTTCTTAGTTGTTTAATATTTATGTGGTTGAACCGAGTATTTAAAAAAAATATATATATAATTTATTGTGTTGCATATGTCATATGCTTTCATATTCCATATGCAGTTGGGGCATGTTGTCACCAAAGGTCAATGTGTGCTCAAAGAACTGTTTAATTGTTTGTTTGTTTATTTATTCTGTAGCATATCTTGTGTCTGTACATTAAATGACTTTTAAAAAATTACTAACTGGATTTAAAACGTGACAGCTAGCCCATGTGTTGTTTTGCATTAAATAGCACAAAAACATGTGTTAAATACAGAGGCGGACAGTAAATAAGTACATTTACTTGAGTATTGTACTTAAGTACACCTAGAAGTCGTGGCCTAATGGTTAGAGAGTCTGACTCATAACCCAAAGGCTTTGGGTTCGAGTCTCGTACCGGCAGGGATTGTAGGTGGGGGGAGTGAATGTACAGCGCTCTCTTCCACCTTCAATACCACGACTGACGTGCCCTTGAGCAAGGCACCGAACCCCCAACTGCTCCCCGGGCGCTGCAGCATAAATGGCTGCCCACTGCTCCGGGTGTGTGTTCACGGTTTGTGTGTGTTCACTGCTGTGTGTGTGCACTCTGGATGGGTAAATGCAGAGCACTAATTCCAAGTATGGGTCACCATACTTGGCCACATGTCACTTCACTCACTCACCTTTTGAGTATCTGTACTTTATTTGAGTATTATTTTTTCTGGGAACTTATGACTTTAACTTCACTACATTTGAAAGACAAATATTGTACTTTTCACTCCACTACATTTCTATAAAGGTCCTCGATGTAAAAGTCATTACTATGTAGCAGCTTTGAAAGTCAGTGGGTGATTTTTTTTCTTCTCTAAAACGTGACTCTTTTTTTTCAGACAGTTTATCAGTAATCACTCTTGGGGCTACATGAAGTGATTTCCCAGCATTTTTTGAACACTGCCCAGTTGCAAACGTGATATTTATTTACAACAATTCAATAATAAGAAGTAAATATTGTGGTATATATTAGACACAATATTGTCTGATTTTGCTAAATTGTGTAAGTGAAAATATTACCTATAAAGCTACAGAAGAACTGTTGTGCATCTTCTAATAAAACACGATAGGTGTTGGACTTGAAGCAGCACTGCATAGACTGTTCTGTGTGTGACATCAAAGTACCAAGTAAAATTTCAAAAATTTTTGAAGTCAAATAGGTCTTGCTGTTTTGTTAAAGCAGTGTTGCTGTTGTAAAGTTATACAGCTACAGCTGTGTTGCTGGGTTTTAAAGCAGATTTGATTTTTTTTTCTTCCTTATCACTCTGTATTTACAGGATTTCACTGTCCACTCTGTTCAAATGTGGACAAATGGTTACACATAGATGTGTGCACACACACTGTCAGAGCTGTGTGAGATCACTACCATCCTGCTTTTGTGGGGGTGGGTAGGGGTGTTAAATTTTACCCCCATAGGTTTTTAACTTTCTAAAAGCTCTTTATTCCAAAGATACTACAAGCTAGTAGGTGTAATGTATTCTAAGTTGCATCAGAAGTATTGCAAGTATTACGTACAACAATAAAACAGTGCACTGACATAAAAAAGGAAATTTACTTTTGGTACTTAAGTACTTCTAAAAGCAAGTACTTCTGTACTTTTTACTTAAGTTAAAAATCTGTCTTTACAACTTTTACTTGTAATGGAGTAATATTTGACCAGCAGTATCCGTACTTTCACTCAAGTAATAGAGTTGAGTACTTTGTCCGCCTCTAGTTAAATATAATTATAATTTCATGATTTCTTAAAATTCATCCTACACCAACCGTTTAGCTACATACGCTTAAAGTAAACTATTTTCAAACACGAGCACAATCAGAAACAAAAATAGAACAGTGTTTTATTTTTAGCTCGTGTCCACCTACCTAGACGTTTCCAAAATCACGTTTACTTTCGCATTACATCACATCCAGAAGAACAGAGCCGAATGGAGGAGAGACAGGAGGCGGAGATGAAGGAGATGAAGGCAGCCGCGACCAACGGAACTGACGTCACTGGCATCACTAGTGTTTTATTTTTAGCTCGTGTCCACCTACCTAGACGTTTCCAAAATCACGTTTACTTTCGCATTAGCTACATCACATCCAGAAGAACAGAGCCGAATGGAGGAGAGACAGGAGGCGGAGATGAAGGAGATGAAGGCAGCCGCGACCAACGGAACTGACGTCACTGGCATCACGTAAACTGTTGAGATGATCCATGGTAACAGAGTCAGTGCAGCGACGCCGCTCGCACTGACACACGCACGGGATCCGACAGAAATGCCTCGAACCTGGATCGCACCTGCACCGGCTCTCGCTTCTTACAGACGAGCGGCGCTCGGACGCGTGTTAGACGCGCCGTCGGCCTTTTAAACGCGACGCACCTGCCGGGAATCCAAAACATTTGATGCATTGCTTCTATAAATCTACTGTCAGTTCACAAGAAGCAAGGAAACCAGGGAAATGTGTGGTTGAACTGCTTCTCATCTCAGCGCTTTCGCTCAGTTCTTACTGACTCCAGTACGAGCAGATGATGTTAATCCGGATGAAATAATGACTCTTGTGGATTAACGCCTTCATTGTCACTCCAGTTTTTGCTTTGTCGGGATCATCTGCCTTTACCATTTGCCATTACAGTCTGTATATTACAGCCATAGTAATATAATATCGTGAAGATGGCGACTGGAGCGGGCTGGCAGCATTACTACAACCCCGCTGGCAGCGCTTCGACGGGGAAATATAACAGCACCTCCACTTCTACATCCACCAGCACGTCCTTCCCGTCCGGTTTATCCCTCGAATACACGCAGGACCTCCATCTGAAGATGAGCAAGAAGATAGCACAGCTGACCAAGGTAATTGTGCGCGCGTTTTGGGGATGCGTAATGCCATGTGTGTTGTTCTAAAGCGATGCGCATTGGAGGTGCCGGTGTTGTGCCGAATTCTGCACCCCTGCCAGATTATGCACCCCCTCGTTGAAATCGCTACCTGATTGCCTAATCCCAAAACCCACCCCTAATCCTAACCCCACCCCCACACCTACTCCTAAACCTACCAATACTAGGGGGTGCATAAATTGGCAGGGTGCAAATTTCGGCACTACACCGGAGACCCCCATCCAAATGACAACAGGCTGGCCTTCAATCCGGAATTTTATAATGCATAATGGGGTAAAAAGTTACGGATGGGGTGGACAATTTTATTAATAAATACATTTAATTTCTTGATGTGCCATATATATTTCACAAAAATGTTGTATGGAAGTCTCACCAAAATTGGTTATCAAAATTAATAAGAAACTATATAGCCTTAAAAAAAATTGTTTCCTAAAATGTTAACCCGAATTAAAATGAAAACTGAAAATATAAACACAAGAACTAATTCAAAAAAATATATAATAATAACACTTGGCTGTAGGTTCAGAAAGAAATTGTCATTAATATTTCATATCTATAAACTGTCATATTGCTGTAAATTCCTTTAAAAACACTGTTAAGTCAAAAATGTTGTTTGCAACTGTCAAATTCATATTTTATGTAAAAAATATTTGATGTGACTGCTAGGGTTTAGAAAAAAATATTATTATTTTAATTTTTTTGTTCGTACTGGTTTGATCTGTAAAAATAAATAAAATTAAAAAATGATTTAATTACTTGATAGTCCTCCTTAATACAGTACAAAGCCATTTTACTGGTAAATATATTGTTCCTATCGGCCGGACCGTGCAAAAAAGCAGCCAACAACTGTGCGGCAAGCGTGTGAACTCCTTAAATACTGTTTAAAAAGCATCCGTCTGTGCATCTCATGAGGTTGGTTGAGGGAAGCCCGGGATGTGCAGAGTGAGTTGAAAAGATGTTTTGATTTATTAACATTTTTTGGGCAATACATAATTCCCACAATGTCTTTTGTGTAATTTCGTAGGTTGATGACTTAGTGGATTGGAAACTGAAAGTAGTAATAATTAATGAGTGGGTGTCTCCAAATTTCCAACTGGTGCTGTTCTAGTTCCCTCAAAAGGAAGCAGTGCAAAATCTGCCCAAAATCCATATTGTGTAAGATGTGCTGGTCCTGCCTGCAAGGATCATAGCTACATAATCTGCAAAGCCTGCTAGGCAAATTTGTATTTCTCACATAAACCCATTAGTTATAGCTGAATTTTATTATTATTTATTTTTTACTGAATATGTGCATGGACGTGAACAAATGAACTTGATTTGAAATATTTGTGCATATGCATTATTTATTATGCTGAACCCAGTACGGGTCATTTTGAACCCTTTCATACGTTCATGGGGTTTCTGGGACATGTTTTTTTTGGTTAAAGCTTGCTTAAATTCAATTTGCTTAATGCCATCATACTATAGTTATTTTTAATTCAGTGCTTATGATTGGTCGTTTGAAATAATTTACAACATTGATGATCCTCAGTCTGAATCTGGTCTACCTATATAATCGTGCATTTTATAGTAGTGTTTGGCTTTTTTTGTAAGATTCATGACAGCCTGATACATTCACTTGCATTCAAATTTTGTATGTTATATCTGTGGTTTAATCTGTGAATATTATAAACACCTGCTGTTTAGTGTGATCCTCTTAGCCTGACGGAGATATGGAAATGGCATGTTTCCAAAGCCTGCTTCAGCTATTAATTTTCAGGTATTAGAGCCAGCCACAGTCATGGACAACCTGGAAATATCAGAGTTGAGTTTTGCAGCCCTGGAAAAGGCATGGGAATTTTTATATTTAATATACATTATGTACTAAAATATTTCATCAGCTACAGATATCGATGGTGTATAGAGGTAAACTTGCTTATGAGCCGTAGTGATGTTCAGTTTGAGAGCCAATTGTTCTATTGAGTTGGTTCTTTTGTAATGAATTGGTGAAACTGGTTCACAGAATTGTGTGATTCATTAGTCTTGAATCATGTGATATAATGATTGGATCTCTGTAGTGTCTGGTTTGAAGATTAGTATTATAGAGAAATAAAAGATATCATATCACAAAGCCTGTATTTCATGGAAGTTTATCCGTTTTTATTGTGAGGTAATTGGCTTTTTGAGTTGGTTCTTTTGTAATAAATTGGTCAAACTAGTTCACGGAATGTCTTAAATAGTTTGTTGATATAATTACTGGATCTGTATAAGTGCCTGCTTTGAAGATTAGTATTATAGAGAAAATAAAATATACTTATATGTGACCCTAGACCACAAAACCAGTCATAAGGGTCAGTTTTCTGAAATTGAACATCATCTGAAAGCTGAATAAATAAGCTTTCTATTGATGTATGGTTTGTTAGGATCGATACCACTATTTGAAAAACTGGAATCTGAGGGTGCAAAAAAATCGAAATATTGAGAAAATCGCCTTTAAAGTTGTCCAAATGAAGTTCTTAGCAATGCATATTACTAATCAAAAATTAAGTTTTGATATATTTACAGTAGGAAATTTACAAAATATCTTCATGGAACATGATCTTTACTTAATATCCTAATGATTTTTGGCATAAAAGTAAAATCGATAATTTTGACCCATACAATGTATTTTTGGCTATTGCTACAAATATACCCCAGCGACTTAAGACTGGTTTTGTGCTCCAGGGTCACATATTATTCACATACCCAAAGCCTCGCTCTATTCAGTGGAAGGAATAGAGATAAGTTGGTTCTCTTGTAAAGTAATGATCAAACTGGTTCACAAAATGGTCAGAATGATTCATTAGCAAATTTCTCTTGAATCGTTTATTGATATAATTACTGGATCTCTATGTGTCTGCTTTTGAAGCTAAATATCAAATATAATATCTTCACCCAAAGCCTCTATTCTGTGTAAAGGCCCGTTCACACCAAGAACGATAACTATAAAGATAACTATATTAGCATCCATACCAGTGGACGATATCATCTGTGTATTCCAAGTGCAGGCTCGTCTGCCGCTTTAAATTATCGAGATCATTATGGCAGGATTGATTCTGATTGGCTGTCAATGTTTTTATCGTTCATCAGCTGGAAAAAAATTATTCTGAAAGTGATTCGAACAATATCGTTTCTCTGTGCATTTATCGTTATAGCTGTGGTGTGGACTCTGCCATTCTTTAATTTTTATAACGATATCTTTATCGTTGTCTTTATGGTTATCGTCCTTGGTGTGAACAGGCCTTAAGACTGTTGATTTTTATTGTGAGACAGTTTTTCTTATGAATTGGTTCTTTCATAATGAATTGATCGAACTGGTTCACAAAATGGTCAGAATGATTCATTAGCAAGCATTCTGTCTTGAATCATTTGTAGATCTCAATCTCTAGAAGGGCCTGCTTGGAAGATTAGTATTTTAGAGAAATCAAATATAATATCTTCACGTACCCACAGCCTCTATTCTGTGGAAGGATGACAATTTTATTGTGTCTTGTAATGTATTTTTAAGCAAGGCTCTGGCAACACTTGATCTGTGCTTGTTGTCTAACCGTAAGTAAAGAAACTGGATCAGAAATGCAGCCTTAACTTTCATGTGTGCAACTATTCATATTCCTTGCATCATAAATTACCATACAATTATTTAGTTCAGTCTCAACCTCCAGAAGATCTGGTGGTTTATGACTGCCGTTCTTGCACATGCACAGTGACGCTGCCTGAAGTTCATTCGTCCTTAAGGAGCTCGGCCTGCGCCGCATAAAGGAGATTAAACTGCTTTGGCTGAGTAATGATGTACCTGTCAGTCTGTCATTAAACATGGATACCTGGGTCACTGCTTTTAAAGAATATGCGAGGTGCGGAGTTGACGTGTCATCAAAAAAGTGTGCAGAGGATTTTAGAATTTATGATATTTGCATCACATTTAAATTTTTTGTGCTTTGTACGCAAAATTTAGCCCATCTGTAGGTGTCATCTGATTGTTGGTTGACAATTGCAATGTAAATGTAAAGGGATATTTCACTCAAAAATCATTTAATCTCCTTCATGTCGATCCAAAACTGTATGCATTTTTCTTAATTTAATTTAATTAAATTTTTTTCCCCCATGCAATGAAAGTCAAAGTAGTCCAATATGTGTCGTCTACTTGACTTTCAAAATATATTTTGTGTGTTGTACAAAAACATCTTGGCTACCATTGTTCAAGAAAATGCCTCAAGACTCATCAGAAGTGCTTTATATTGCAACAGGACAATGACCCAAATCACCCTACTAGTTCAGTCAATGAGTTTATCAGGGCAAAGAATTGGAAGGTCTTAGATAGCCCAAGTCAGTCTCCAGATTTAAATCCTATTGAACATGAATTTCACCAGCTAAAGAGGAGACTAAAGGCAGAAGCTCCCTAAACCAAGCAACAGTTGAAATTGGCTGTATTAAAGGCTGGGAAAAGCATTTCAATTGATGAAACCAAGAGTCTGGTGATGTCTGTGGGTGGCAGACTCACTGCTGTGATTGCATGCAAGGGATTCACAACTAAATATTAGCTTTTAAACTTTTACATGTGCTTTAAGTTCAACTGTCCCAATACTTATGCTCACATCAGATTAGGGGAATGGAACTCTAAAAGTGCTGTCCTTTTTATTTGGTAAAACGTGAATGTGTTGAAACAGCTAATAATAAAATGTGACATTCTGTAGTTTTGTCTCATATTCATCTTTTAATCATATTTACAGATGTCGACTCCACAGCAGACAAAGCAATTTTGACATTACTGTTCCAATGCTTGTGGAGCGCACTGTAGTTTATGCATGCACACTGCAGGTGTGTTTTGTTTGGTTTTTGACTCGATAATGTCAAATCGCACATTGTTAAAACAACAAATACAATATTATCGTAGACGACATATATCACACACACATACATATAAAAAGAAAGAGAGGAAATCT